CAGGAACCAGGCCTGTTCTCTCTTTTCAGAAAAGAGATATATCTTTTTTAGGCAGCAGACGATCATTTTGGAAGATAGATAATTTAAAGAAAATCATTCTTTAAAAAATTAAAGCTGCACAATTATTTGTTTTGGGAACTGGGTCTCCATGACTCACACACAGCTCTCCTGACTAGCGCTTGAAAAGTTTGTTTTGAAAAGGAATTAGTTCCAGTTCACCCCTCCAAAAGGAACAAATTCTGTTCTAATTCAATTCACAGTTTAATTCAACAATTCATTCATGTGACCCTCTGTATTAATTTCAGCCTTCAGAATTTTGCAAGCTGAAGTACAAAGTATACCTAAGAATACTGAGAAAAGGGACTTCCGGGGTGGCGCCATTTGCAATGGCGGACTCCCTCTGATCTGGAGGGACTAGCTCCGCGCGAAATGGGTCTTTTCCACTACGGCGAAGCGGGGACCCTTTCAAAAATCACAGGTGGATGAAGCCTGTGACCATGGGACTCGGCGGGCACCCTTAGCGCCCCCACCAACCCGCAAAGGAACCCACTAATGGGCTCCGAAGTGAAGAGGGGGAAGTGGTGCGGTGCTGAGAGTCAACTGCTTTTTCCGTGGAGCGAAGCCGCATAGCCGTTGCCGGAGAGTGCTGCCTTTTTCCTGGGACAATTTGGCTTCTAAAATAATCACCCGTGAGTACTTAAATTTCGGACAATTGGACTTTAAATAAGGACTTGCGAGCAGAAAGGAATTGGACTTAAAAATTTACTTCAATTTGGCACTGAAACGGGAAGGTCTAAACAGGAAGTCAGCCTTCCGTTTCTTTGTAGACAGAATAAAGCAAAGACAACGTAAACTAGAGCTCAGAAAATCGCTTCTAAAAGATTAACTTTCATCATTTAAAATTGTTGAACCCCCCTTCGGAAGCAGGAGAAGAAGGGGGATCTTTTTCGGACTGTTCAAACCTGCAGAAGTGAGTTTAAAGTAAAGTAACTTTCCACCGTCCTGATCCTGGAGCGGGGTGTCAGGACTGACGTTTGAAGCTCATTGACCAGAGACAAACGCTTTTGACAGATAGCTAAAAGAAGAGAAACATAGTGATTCCACTGTTCCCTTTCGCATTTTAAAGGAACAAATATTGACAAAATATCTCAAAAAGGAAACTTTGTTGCTAGGTTTGTCCTTAAAAGAAAGAACAAATAGAAGTTTTCCCCCTAGAGGGAGACTGTGAAACTGTAACTAATTCCAGGGAGCTTGCAGCTGTTACAGATTACAATCGTGGGAATAGACTTGTGACCTTGTAGGACAATGTATTCAGAAGCTCTGTTGTGTGCTCTCTGTAAAACAAATGCCCTACTGGAACAGTTAAATGAGAATACGGATTTGATGACTAATGCGGTCAGAATTTTGAACAGGCAGTGGGAAACTATATGGAGCCCACCCAGGAATTAAATCAGGAGTGTGCCCTGACAGAACAGATGAGAGAAGAGGATGTTGCTGAATCTTGGGCGCCAGAGATGGAGGGAGCTGTGGCCCTGCAGGAACATGAGCTTTTGGATTTGACAAATGAACTTGGAAAAAGCCAGATTTGGAAAGATAAAGTTTGGACTGATTTGAAAATGGGGGGTTGGATAGACCCCCCTATGCAGGGATGTTTGGACTTTCCAAGTCTGGCAATGGGCCGTGAGATGTTTGGGGCTGTGGGAGCTTTTAATTTTGGAGGGATTCTGAAACATGTTTTCAAATATCACATGGAGTTTAGTCTGGGCTTTGGAAAAGGGGCTGATTTGTTGAAAAGGGTCAAAAACATTACCAAGCTGGAGTTCCCACGAGTGAAAGGAGAATATGAAGAAGAGCCGCGGAAGGGACATGGAAGAGACTTAAGGGCCTCGGATATAAGGTTACCAGGTTAATGCGCTAGATCAATGGGATAAAAAGGACTGACAAAACCCGGGACCAGGAGGAAGGGACGCTGGATGAAGATTGGATTGTTTTTATTTCTTTTTTTTTTATTACTAGGATTGTTTTATAAAATTGCTGAATGTTAGAAAAATGTTGGAATGAAATTACTTGGCTCTAGCAAAAATGTTTAAAGAATTAGGTAAGAATATTATGGTTATGAGAAGTTGGTAAAAATAAGAATTAAGTTTTAAGTTTTAAGGTTTTCTATAAGATGAGATGAAAATAGATTAAGGTAATGTAATGACAGAATATTATGAAATATGGAAAGGATTTGCTGCGATAATTAATAACTAGGATACAAAAAAAGGAGGAGGAGGAGGTCAAAGAAAGAAGGTAATGAAAGTTGAGGATTCGAGAATGATGGATTTGTTTTTATCTGTTTGTGGTGTATTTTTGTTTTTTGAATCTGCATTGTTTGATGTGGTTTGTTTTCTCTTTGTTTTCTCTTTTTTCCTTTTCTGCTGTGTTCTTTTCTGTAATTCTAAAAATTTTTCAATAAATATCATTTTTTTAAAAAAGAATACTGAGAAAACATCAAAAGACATACACAGTGTAACGTGAGCAATGATTTATTTATTTTGCTCAGCCTTGGTTCTCACCAGCTTTGGCTGGTGGCCAAGCTGTGCCCCTATCTGGACAGGGATAGCCTAACTTCTGTTGTCTATGCTCTGTGCTTTTGAATTAATTCAGTGAATTAGTTAATCTGAATTAGTTCATTCCAAGTACCACTCCCAACTCCCATGCATTTCCATGGAGAATCAAATATGTGCCCACATCCCTTTGAATGGGCAGAATTGTCCCTTTTCTGTTATATCACAAAACTAATCTTTGGGATCCAGAGACCCCCTTTAAGGAGCAGAAGGCAGTTCCATTTCCGCTAGGTGGAATTCCCCTCATTTCATGTGTTACAACTTGAAAACTGTAATCCACATTCCCCACAAGGAGTCCTTGACTCAAAACCAGCTTTTTGGAATCAGTTCAAGAAAGGCTAGACTGGGAAGAAGGACACAGGGAAATCTTGTTCATGAACAGGACTACTCTTACATCTACTGGGCATATCTCATGAGACTTTGGGCCAATTGATGCTGAACTTATATGCTGCCTTTTCATATGTGTGAGCTCTGCTCAGGTTTTTGGCATCCTTGTCCCCATGCTATCCATGTATTGGAGGGTTCCGGCTCACAGGAACAGCTGACATGCATTCAGCAGGCTTCTCTGCTTCAGAATTCCCCCAGTGCAAGGAGAACAACTGAAAGCAGCAAGCATGGAACACAGGGGAGGCATAAATGCATGTAGCATGTCTCTCTTTGTGAGATAAGAATTGCATGAGCATTATGGCCTGAACAGTGCTTAAGTCTTTGGCTCCTACCTACTTACGTACCAGCAACATTTCTGTATTACCTTTCACCTAAAATTGATGGAGAGCCAAAGTTTTCTCACAGCTGCTGTAGACATAAAGGATCCATCCTGTGTGAGTGCCTGGAGGTGGTTGGAGGATGGTTGGCGGCTAACAGATTGAGGTTGAATCCTGACAAGACAGAAGTACTGTTTTGGGGGGACGGGGGCGGGTGGGTGTGGAGGACTCCCTGTTCCTGAATGGGGTAACTGTGCCCCTGAAGGACCAGGTGTGCAGCTTGGGAGTCATTTTGGACTCACAGCTGTCCATGGAGGCGCAGGTTAATTCTGTGTCCAGTGCAGCTGTCTACCAGCTCCATCTGCTATGCAGGCTGAGACCCTACCTGCCCGCGGACTGTCTCGCCAGAGTGGTCTCCTGCTTGGACTACTGCAATACACTCTACATGGGGCTACCTTTGAAGGTGACCCGGAAACTGCAATTAATCCAGAATGCGGCAGCTAGACTGGTGACTGGGAGTGGCCGCCAGGACCATATAACACTGGTCTTGAGAGATCTGCATTGGTTCCCAGTACGTTTCCGAGCACAATTTGAAGTGTTAGTGCTGACCTTTAAAGCCCTAAATGGCCTTGGTCCTGTATATCTGAAGGAGTGTCTCCACTCCCATCATTCAGCCCGGACACTGAGATCCAGTGCCGAGGGCCTTCTGGCGGTTTCCTCATTGTGAGAAGTGAGGTTACAGGGAAACAGGCAGAGGGCCTTCTCGGTAGTGGCACCCACCCTGTGGAACGCCCTCCCATCAGATGTCAAGGAAATAAGCAGCTATCCTATTTTTAAAAGACATCTGAAGGTAGCCCTGTTTAGGGAAGTTTTTAATATTTAATGCTGTATTGTTTTTAAACACTCGATTGGGAGCTGCCCAGAGTGGCTGGGGAAACTCAGCCAGATGGGCAGGATATAAATAATAAATTATTATTATTATTATGTATTATTATTATTATGTATTACTTATCATTGAAGAGAACCATGCTGTTTGGCATGTCTCCATTCCTTGGCTGCATGCCAATAAACAAGGGAGCAAGAATGCCCACATAAAGCTTTTTCTTTCATGTTAATGGGAGCCACCCTGAAAGTACCATTGAGTTGAAGCTGCAGGGTATAAGGTTTGTAAATAAATTAACAGTCTAGAGAGAATCCACAGCAAAGTGCTTCTTAGGGAGCTCCCCTCTCATAGTGGTGCCTCCCTTGTTAGGTTTTGTTGGTGCCAGAAATGGCCACCAGAAACATGCTGATGAATACGGTGTTGCTTCTACCTGGAGTCAGGGAGCTGCTACTTTAATTGCCCACAATCTCCACTTTGTTGAGGCATTGAAAGTATGGTGCCTAGACAATGTATGGCACTGGGAATCAAGCGATGGGAGAGGGTTCTTATGTTCTGGTCCTGCTGGTGGGTTTACCCATGGACATCTGGTTGGCCACTGTGAGAAGAGGACACTGGGAATCTGGCCTGATCAAGCAGGCTCTTTTTAGGTTCTCTGCTTCTGAGATAGAAGCTGTAGTTGGTTTTTTTAGGACTCTTTGAGAGTAATGAATATCCAATTACACTGAAAACTTGGGTGGAGAATGTCACTGTATAAATCAAACAGAGGAAGCACATTGTATTCTGTGTTCTTCAGAAGCCAACCTCTTGTCATGATTAATTCAAGAAAAATTGGAGAAATGGCATCCTGGCTAAGAGAATTGCTAAAAAGTAAGATAAATGCATTTACATAGATTATAACTTCCTAAACTATTGAGCACATGTGTGTGTGTGTGTGTGTGTGTGTGTGTGTTCAAATCTAAGCAGTATTTAGAAATATAAGTAATTCATGCGCTCTCCATGCAATGTTTCATTACCAAAACACACCAGCTTCACTCACCACTATGGGCAAGTTAAAACCTGGACAGGGAAAATCAATAGAAGAGACTGAAGAGAAAACAAATAAGATGTTCAATGCATAGTCACATGAAGGAAAATTGCCTATTTCCTATGCATCTCCTTGTGAGTACTCCATTTTGTTTTGATAAAACTCTATATTTGACATTAGCATTGACTGTTGTGTAATAAATTCATCCTAACCTCTTCTAGTAGAGAAGAAACAGGTTTTCTTTACTTTGGTGTGTTGGTGGCAAAGAGAAAATAGGTATAAAAGGTCATTTTCTGGATGCCTAAATCCAGTTTTGGAGCAAGTATTCTTTGGTAAGAGAACACCAGCAGAGATTTTAAATCACAAAATATTCAGCAAAGTAAAGTTTGTTTATATAGGCAGTTATACTTTTAAAATATGCCCTTTTAAGTTCCTTGCAAAGTTCCCCACTTCCTCCAGCATAGAAAAAGAACACATGTTTGAGGATTCTAAAATGGTTAACTTACAAAGTCTCCAAATATCAGATTCATGTGCTTTTCCATACAGCATTCAGAAAAGTTGCATAAGCAGTAAAATTTGGCATAGTTACGGTGGTGAAATTGCATAATTTTTTGGTATAGGAACATAAGAGGGATTTTTTGTTGGGATACTGCCAGGGAGATAAAGTCCATCATGGCCCCCAAGCCGTCTGCCGGACGATCCATCAGCCTCCCGTAGGCACGCAGCGACATGAGTTTCTAGAAAATTTCTTGCCACATTCCAGAGCTCATGCACACTCTATCAGCAGATAGTCACAGCAAAAGTTGCACCCAGGAGAGCATTATTTACAAGTTTATTCAGCGTTGATCAGAACACAGAAAAACATGACCGACTGCTTTAGTGTCTGCGACACCAGAGAGAAAACGAAAGCAACAGAAAACATAAACATCCTGTGAACAGGAAATACGCAGACTCTGACTCACAAAGCCTGCTCCTTTTAAGGTGGAACGGAAATATCCTAACATCCTCCCCTTTCCGTGTAACCTGTAGTACCTGTGGTTCAACCCAATTGCAACCTTTGTACGTAAACCTTAAGTTGTTCTCTGTTAACAACCTTAGACAACAGATCAGCAGGAATTTCATTTCCTGGCATGTAGGACACCTGAATGAGTCCTTTCTGAATACACTCTCTTGCACGATGTAGCTTAATCTGCAAGTACTTGGTCCTTTGCTTGCAACTCTCCGAGTTCAGCAAAGCCAAACACGATCTATTGTCTTGATACACTTGTACAGGACATTTCACAGAAACTCCGATGTCCTTAAACAGTTGCATCAACCATTCACAATCCATGAGTGAAAATGATAGAGCATTGAGTTCTGCTTCACAGGAACTTAGGCTCACTGTCGTCTGCTTTTGCACAACCAGTCAAACAGGCAGTGGTTGTACATGTAGCATACTCCAGAAGTGCTTGTACCATCCGTGGTGTCACTTCCAAAACTTGCATCTGCAAAGATTTCAAGACCTCCAGTCTTCTGACTGGTGAACCTCAGCCTGTAGTGCAAAGTCCCTTTCAAATAGCGGGCTATGCGCTTCAGAGCTTTCCAATCCTGAACAGTAGGATTGTTAGCATGTCTGCTAAGCAGGTTACAGCTTACAGCTATGTCAGGTCTTGAGCATCTAGCAATGAAATTCAACTTGCCTAGAATGCATCTGTACAGCGTAGTGTCAGAAAACGCTTCAGCAGTACTATCTACCTGGTAACCTGTCACCAGCGGTGTGTCTGCTGGGTTTGCATCAACCAAATTCAACCTGGTTAATACATCAGCAATTTTCTGTGTTTGGTGTACCAGAAAATTACCTGCTTGGTCCTTCTCCACCTGCAGAGAAAGATAGTTGGATACCTCACCAAGATCCTTCATGTCAAAGTGCTCCTTCAGCTGAGCTAGGGTGCCTTGGTAGAAAGCCTGATTCTTCCAAAACATCAGAAGATCATCAACAAAACATAAACAATACAGTTTGTTTTGCCCCTCCTCCTTGACAAACACACATGGATCAGCTTTGCCCTGGTGAAAACCTAGAGAAAGCAACGTCTCAGTGAGTTTCGTGTTCCAACACCTGGCACTCTGCTTGAGACCATATAAGGATTTCCGCAGTTTACAGACCATTCCCTTCTGTATCTGCATCCCGTCAGGTGGAAGCATAAACAGCTCCTCGTCCAAAATCCCGTACAAAAAAGCTGTATTAATATCATGATGGGAAACATGCAGTTTCTCCTCTGCAGCTATCTTGAGCATCAGCCGAATGCTCTCATATTTGACTGTGGGTGAATAGGTCTCGTGGTAATCCTGTCCTGGTACCTGTGAAAAACCTCTGGCAACCAATCTGGCTTTGTGTCTGACAACCTTGCCATTCTGGTCTGTCTTGGCCTTGAAGACCCATTTGCTGCCAACCAGTCTCATCCCTGGGACTACCGGTACCAGTTCCCAAGTTTGGTTCCTGTTCAAGGAATCAACTTCAGCCTTCATGGCATTAAGCCAAGGCTCAGCATCTTTAGAGGTTAACTCCTGAACCTCTTTGAAGCTTGAAGGTTCCCATACCTTCTCTGAGCTACTAAGAACAGCAGTTGCTGTCTTAGCAAACTCATCAGCAAATCTCTTTGGAGGTCTGCCCTTTGTGGCTCTCTCAGATCTGCGTACTAGACGCAAGTCTTCTGGACTCATCTCCTCCTTCTTAGGAGAAAAGTGACCAATGGTGAACAGTGGTTCCTCCAGTTCATTGTCAGACGCATCAGATGGTCTGACTGAGGCCTTTGCGCTCTTGTAGTCTGCTGTGTCATCACTGTCACTGACATCAGCAGCAGCGCCGCCCACTGAACTGGAATCCGAACTCTGATCATCATCGTCATCATCATCCTCAGCAGCTTCCTCAGCTTTAGCTGCTTTCTTCACATCACCTTCATCCTCCTCTGGGTAACTCTGGAAAATTCCCACATTTTCCCCCCACTTAGGATTGTACTCAACACTCTTTGTGAATTTAATGGACTTAGAGTTGGTCATCCACACCCTGTATGCACCTTTTTTCGTACCCCATGAACAAACCATGTGCCCCACGCTTCCCAAGCTTGTTGCTCTGTGGGGTGTGTACCCACATGTCAGAACCAAAGATTCTCATGTGTTTGATGTTGGGTTTCTTACCAAACATCTTCTCATAGGGGGTACAACCAATAGGTGATGACAATCTGCGATTATAAGTGTAAGCAAAATTCGCCAGAGCCTCCCCCCAATACTTATCAGGGAGATTGGCATCATGCAACAATGTTTTCATTCCTTGCAGCAATGTTTGATTTGCTCGCTCCGCAAGCCCATTCATCCATGGCGATCTAGGCGTTGACAAGTCATGCTGGATTCCCTTCTCAGTCAGGAAAGCTTCAAACTGCTGAGAAGTGAACTCCCGCCTCGATCAGTAAACAGACAGCCAATACGTTTACCGTGAACATTCTCCAACCAAGCACAGAATGCCTTGAACTTAGGAAACGCTTGCGATTTCTGCTCGAGCATAAACACATGAATGTACCTGGAAAAAGAATCAATTAGAACCATGAAGTACCTTGCTCCACCCAAAGAGGGCGCAAGTGGACCAACCAGGTCTGCGTGCACTAGCTGGTAGGGTTTGGAAGCCTGCCTGCTAGACTCCTTGCCTTTTGGAGCAACCTTCACCTTGTTCTCTGCACAAGATACACATTTCATGTGAAACTTACAGGGTTTGATGTTCAAACCCTCAACCATCTCTGGCATCTTGGCCAGCGCCTGCCAAGACATGTGACAAAATCTTCTGTGTGCATCATGAATGCATCCTGCATGAAGAACTTTGTTAATTTGTGCAACACAACAAGAATCAGCATTAGACACAACAGCACCATTGTCGTCATAAGTTATACAGAACAAGCCATCCATAAACTTTGCATGCAAAATGTCCTCTTTGCCTTTTCTGATGACACAGACGCTCCTCTTGAAGGAAATCTCAAAACCACGCCCAGTCAACTGTGGGACACTGAGCAAATTGTCTGCAGCGCCTGGAACATACAGTACATCATTGATGGTTGTGTGCAGACTTGCCAGTTTCACAGTCCCTTCTCCTGCGATTCGCAACGTCTTTCCGTCAGCCAGGTGGATCTCACCTTCTTGAGGTTTGAAGGAGATAAAGAGGTGGCGGTCCTTTGAGACATGGCGGGTACAGCCTGAATCAACAACAAACCTGGCTGTGACCTTTGGAGCAGTTCTGGCAAGCAAAACCTTGTTTTCCACCGGCGTGGGCTTTTGCAGCTTGCCCCCCTGCTCCTGGCCATCAGACTTGCCTTTAGCCTTTGGTGAGGCTGTGCCAGCAAACAAAACCTTGTTTTCCACTGGCGTGGGCTTTTGCAGCTTGCCCCCCTGCTCCTGGCCATCAGACTTGCCTTTAGCCTTTGGTGAAGCTGTGCCAGCAAACAAAACTTTGTTTTCCTCTGGCGTGGGCTCTTCACCCTCCCTCTGCTTCTGGCCATCTGCAGGTGTCTGCCTCTGTTTACCTTTGCCCTTCCGGCCTCTGCAAAGGCGATGACCTTGGCTCCCATGAGAAACAGAGCTCTCAGCTGCCGACTCCTTGGCTCCCCTGGAGGCTGGAATGCTGCCTGGGATGACGTGACAGTCAGCTCCCCTGCAGCTTGCAACCGGTGCCCTCGGCATCCCTGCATTCACTCGCATTCTGGGAAACAGCCAGGACCTCCGATGCAGTCAAACTCTGGGCTGGGATGACTGGCAGATGGGCTATCTTCAAAGCATGCCACATATTACGTGCAGTCAGATTGCCAGCTAGCGTTTTTATTTCCTCCAGAGAGACGGACAAGACGATTATATCTACCGCCTTCGAATTAGCGGCCCTCCATCTATCTGTCAGAGGAACTGGAGGGGCCTCACACACAGTATGCCACACTCCAAACTGACGCAGCAAACTCTCACACCATTTTGCCCAGGTCTGGTAGTTGTGCCGATTTAACTTTGGGCACGCAGCAGCCTCAGAAGCCTGGAAAAACTCCATTCCAGCTTTTTACTTGAGCCTTGAGCCTTTATGCCTTCAAAGACGTCTTATCTTAGCAGCTCATTAATCTTGAGGCCTGCTGGGCTCGACGCCCAGACCAATTAGGGCCTTCCGGACATCAAAGCTCTTGCCGCGGCAAACAGAAAAGCCTTACTTTCGCTTTTCCTCCACATACCTTTCAGCAGTCTGTCGCAGTCTTACTCTCCTGTAAGTGCTGTGAATCTGGGCCCGAAACCTGTTGTTGGGATACTGCCAGGGAGATAAAGTCCATCATGGCCCCCAAGCCGTCTGCCGGACGATCCATCAGCCTCCCGTAGGCACGCAGCGACATGAGTTTCTAGAAAATTTCTTGCCACATTCCAGAGCTCATGCACACTCTATCAGCAGATAGTCACAGCAAAAGTTGCACCCAGGAGAGCATTATTTACAAGTTTATTCAGCGTTGATCAGAACACAGAAAAACATGACCGACTGCTTTAGTGTCTGCGACACCAGAGAGAAAACGAAAGCAACAGAAAACATAAACATCCTGTGAACAGGAAATACGCAGACTCTGACTCACAAAGCCTGCTCCCTTTTAAGGTGGAACGGAAATATCCTAACATTTT